CACAACATTAGACTTTGCCAGGAACTTCAATGCTTCTGTGGTGGGACCCGCAGATGTCACCTCCCCCAATTCTGATGCTACAGCAACCAGTTCTCTTCCTGTAGCTATTAAACCATAAGTGTACTTTTTCAAAATGAAATGTCTTCCTTTTATATCTCACTCTTTCTATTTTTATGTTTTTTTTTTTTTTGAGACAGAGTCTCACTTTGTTACCCTGGATAGAGTGCTGTGACATCATAGCTCACAGTAACCTCAGATTCTTGGGCTTGAGCAATACTCTTGCCTCAGCCTCCCCTACTTGGAGGGACTATAGGCACCTACCACAATGCCCAGCCATTTTTAGAGACAGGGTCTTACTCTTGCTCAGGCTGTTCTCAAACTTGTAAGCTCAAGCAATCCACCCATCTTGGCTTTCCAGAGTGCTAGTATTACAGGCATGAGCCACCATACCTGGCCTTATTTTTATGTGTTCTTAAGAGAGCCAATGTTTTTGCCAAAATTGCTTGACTCATTAATGGAGTCAACATTTAAAGTATCGTATTTTAATTTTAAGTCATAGCTCTGTTGATATTTTTATTGATTTGTCATTTCTTTTCTTATATATTGAAGAGAGTGAAAGAAATTTCAATTTTGAAGAAAATTGGCCCAAAATATGAAGTGTTGTAAAGGGGATCAGATATCATTACTTCCCTATTCAAAACCTTTCAGTGGTTTCCCATCCAACTTAGAATAGCATCCAAAGTACTTGCCATGATCTTGAAGACCTTATGTAACTTGATCCCTGCCTTCACATTCTTATCTTTCTTCCCCTTGTTCACCCAGACCTTAGCTTGTTATCAATGGATGCTGTATCAGTGTAAACAGGAGTTTGAGTGTGACCTTGGGGATTTTATAGCTCAGTGGCTAGGGCGCCAGCCACATACACCAGAGCTGGTGGGTTCGAATCCAGCTCAGGCCTGACAAACAACAATGACAGCTATAATCAAAAAATAGCCGGGTGTTGTGGCAGGAGCCTGTAGTCCCAGATACATGGGAGGTTGAGGCAAGAGAATTGTGTAAGCCCAAGAGTTTGAGGTTGCTGTGAGCTGTGATGACATAGCACTCTACTGAGGGTGACATAGTGAGACCCTGTCTCAAAAAAAGGGGGGGGTAACATCTAAACATAATTCTGTTGCCTCCTTTCACATATTTATTCCTCTTATTTCTGTTTCACTTGTTATTGTTTTGGCCAGGAATTTGAAAATAGTAGTAAATAATTGTGTTGATAAGAGGTAGGGCATTCTTTAGTTCTGATTTAAATATTTATAAGGCTTGATTCTTGGGTGTGAGGTTGGCTATTGATTTGAGATAGACACCATTTGTGATGTTATAGAAGTATCTTTTATTTGTAGGTTTTAAAGAATGTTTAATTAGGAACGAACATTTTATTTCATGTTTTTATGGATATATTAAGAAGATTGTACAGTTTTTCTTTGTTAGCCCATCATTGGATCATGGAATTAGGTTTCCTAATATTAACTATATCGGTATTCTTGGGATAAGCCCTTCTGATTGGTGTTAAAGGAATTTTCATCTTATAAGGGTGTATGTGAATCTTTCTAAATGTAGAATATAAATGTCTTAACACAATAACTAAGAAAATGACATGAAGGCTTTGTTAACCAGTTTGATGAAAATATTTCAAATTGTATATAAAAACAGCACACTGTACCCCATGACTATATTAATGTACACAGCTATGATTTAATTAAAAAAATAAAAAAATAAAAAGTCAAAGCAGAAAAAAAAGAAATTCTGAATTCAAGTTATTCTCACCTTATTTAAGAAGTTTATATATTTGTTTATAAGTAATGTTACTCTTTATTTTCACTTTTTGACATAGGTGATATTTGTTTGGGATCAGACAGTACTATCAATGAAAACACTTGAAAGAGATGAGTCATCTTGGTGGCTTTCTCTGGGGTAGGTACAGGGGAACCATTTGCTCTGAATTATACTATGTACATAATCAAAAATTTATTAATCCCTCACATCTAATACAAAAATTAGTTCAAAATGGATCAGGGGCCCAGGTGCAGTGGCTCACGCCTGTAATCCCAACACTTTGGGAGGCTGAGGCGAGTAGATTGCTTGAGCTCATGAGTTCAAGACCAGCCTGAGCAAAATAGAGACCATGTCTCTACTAAAAATAGAAAAACTGAGGCAAGAGGATTGCTTGAGTCCAAGTTGGAGGTTCTGTGAGCTATGACGCCACAGCACTCTACCCAGGTGACAGCTTGAGACTCTGTATAAAAAAACAATGGATCATGGGCTTAAATATACCATATAAAACTAAAAACATTTTAGAAAAAAGAAACATAAGAAGATCTTGGAGGCCTAGGGCTTGGGGAAGGGTTTGCAGACATGACATCAAGATTCATGGTCACTGGAAGGAAATAGAGTATTCTCTGCACAAAGGGGTTGTAAAAGCTTGGGGATTCTGTTTGGACTCCATTCCAGCCTACCTGTGCAAACTTTAGCATAGTTAATTAGCCATTTTAAGCCTTGATTTACTCATCCATAAGTATGATAATATTAATAGTACCTACCTCTTGAAGTTGTTTTGAAGATTGAGAGATTGGTCTAGTATATTGTACTTTGCTAACCCTCAATGAATATTAATTTTTCTGCATTTTTGATCAGATTAGTGTATGGTGGAACCCACTGAAGGAAGTAAATCAAACCTCTTAAGTCCTAATTTTTGGGGGAATGCAAGATACAAAAGAATTTTGTATCATGTGCAATTTAAAATAGACAAAATAGTTGTCTAATTTTAGTTGCACATGAACTTTATGGCCACCCTGCAAATATAAAATATGTGTGTGTATATGTATATCACATATGTATATATGACTAAATACCTTTCTTTCTTCTTGTGTATAGACAGCTATCAATTACAGCAGAGTCATAATAGAATCATAATAGAATTTTGCAATTTATATTTCATCTTTTGATTCCTCCATTTTCTCTTTACTATCCAAAGAGCAATTGAGTTTTGAGGTAGTAAGTTATTGATATTTTGTCTTACAAATTGTTTAACTGCCAATGTACTTTATTATAATATTTCAGTGAAATCACTTTGATAGAAAAATAAGATTCATGTAATAGGCTGAATAATGATCCCCAATCCCAGGATGGCCACACCCTAACCCCTCAAACTTGTGAATTTGTACCTTAACTGGCTAGAGTGACTTTGCATATATAATTAAGAATCTTGAGATGGAGATATAGTCTAGATCCCCTCTGCAGGCTCAATGTAATCACAAGGGTTCATATAAGAGGGAGATAGGAGTATTGGAATCAGAGAAGGAGATGTGATGACAGAAGCAGAGGTTGAGATGATGCCTTTGCTGAAAGATGGCTATGAGCTAAGGAACATGGACAGCTGTTAGAAGCAGGATAAGGCAAGGGAATGGATTCTCCCCTAGGATGGGTTTGTGAATTTAATTGTCAGACCAGGTATTTTTTCTTTTATTGTTTATACTTTTGGTGTTGTATCTAAGAAATCATTGCCTAACCCGAGATCATGAAGTCTTACACTTATGTTTTACTTGATAATTTTAATAGTTTTGGCTTTTACTTTAGCACTTTGATCCATTTGGGGTTAATTTTTATATATGATATAAGGTAAGGGTCCCAATTTATTATTTGCCATGTAGATATCAGGTTATTTCAGTATTCTTTGTTGAAAACACTATTTTTTCTCCCATCTAATTGTCTTGACACCTTTGGTGAAAATCATTTGACCATAAATCTATGAACTTGTTTCTGTACTCTCAATTCCATTCAGATTTTTATTTTAAATCAATCAATTATTTTCCCTGAGTCCTACTTGGGACCACTCTAAATAGAATAATCTGTGCCATTTTCCCCCACACTTATGAACTAATTTTGGTGAAGGGCCATAAGTCCTCATATAGGAAAATAAAGTTCTATCTAAAGTTGTGTGGCTTTGGCAAGTTACTTAACCTCTATGAGCTTTAGCTCCTGTGAAATGGAGATGATGGAAATCTAAATACCACAGGGCTGATGTTAGCATTAGAAGACAAAGGTTGTGAAAGTGATGGCATGGTCCCTGGGACACAGTAGGTATTTGACATCAACCAAACTTATGGCTGGTGCATGGTCTTGTGGTTCCCTTCCTTCTGACCTAGGATTAGGGTAGTGATGTTTGATTGGGAGAACCATGGGTAGTTGGGTCAATTCCCATGGTTCTGCTTCTGTCTCCTACAGTGTGTAGTAGCTGTGGTTCCATTCCTCCACCTTTTCTGTCAGGGACAATATGAAGAGTGGGTGAAGAAGAGGAAAATGACTCTACATACCAGCTCTCTGGCCAGAAGAGAAAACCTTAGGTTTGGGGGAAGCCCAGTAGTGAACTATAGTAATTAGGAAGTGCTGGAATCCTGTTTTAGAGCTTTATTTTTATAGACAAAATAGCATAACTGTATTGTCAGTTGAGAGCTCTGTCACAATTGAGAGAATTCTGTCTGCTTGGATAAGGAAGCCACAGTTCAGGTTCCTGGTTTATTTTGCAGAAGTCCCCAGATTGTAACAAAAAGGCCTGGGAGGAAAAAAACCATCCCCTAAACCTAAACACTGGTGGATGTCACTGAAGTTCAAGAGGAAGGGGCACAATATTCTTTGGCTTCTTATTACCGTGATCAGAGAGTTGCCTGGAGTGATTCACAAGTCTCCCAAACTGGATTGTTGCTTTAGATAATCAGGGATGATGGAACCACTTCCTTTGTTAGCCAGCCCTCTCTGGTTCCTTCCCCCAAACCTGCTTTGGTCACTTGAGAGGGGATTCCATTGCTGGAACCCTGATTCATTAAACAGTTTCCAGGTTGGTTGGCCTTTCTCATCCTTGAGATCTTACCCTTTCTCCAAATTTTTCCTTCCTTGTGACTCTAGTTGAATACCTTATGACTTTCGGGGTTTATTAATGGGGAACCTGGCTCCTTTTATATGATTGCCAGCTCTTGGGCCTCAGGGAGTCCATGTTCAACTTTGTGTTGATCAAACAGCTTGCGCAGGGCACTAATGTAGAATGTGTGATACTTGTCCACTGTCTTCTTATCTGGATTCTCAATCTTGGGAATCGGCAGGGGTTCTCCAACTATGGAGAGATGGAAAACAGGCAAAGATCAGAGTCACCCCCACAACTCAAAATACTCATCCCTCGTTGGGAACCATCTACTGAAACTCAGTATCTGAATTTCCTCCCCTTCTTTTGTATTTCCCTGTGCTCTAGCCCAATACTGGACCTGTTCTTCAACCACCTAATCTCACCTATACTTAAGAGAATGAAAGCAAACTCAGGAGAATACTGAAGTAATGTGTGTGGATAATGATGCTCTTGTGGCAACTATTGAACTCTATCTCATCTGTGAATGGCCGTACTTCTTATTTATTTAGTTATCCTACCCACTGTGTTTGTAACTGTAGCCACTGCCCATCTCAATTGTGAGCTGGGACTTGATGGATGACTTGGGAGAGGGGGGATCAAGAATCAGGTGGTCTGGAGAAAATGCAAAGCTCACCAACAGTGGTAATGGGATGATTGAAAGGCAGAAAGCCCCAGGATCCACGAGTGAGGCCCCGACCATGGAAGGTACAGAAATTTAAACCCAGGAGTTTTTTGAATGTGCTCTGGAAGGTTTTTTGGAAGAACCTTGTCCATGTGCCCTCAGGGAAGGTCTCTTGCTTGTGTACCTCGTTCTCACCAAAGGAATAGGAAGGAACAATATATGCCCTGCAAAGAGAGGGGCAGGCATGTGAGCTCTCTGAGGAAACTCCCCCCAGCAAAACCTTCTTCAAGGTGGGAAACCTCTTCAACCTCCTCATTATAAGACAAGAACTCAAGCTCCATTCCTCCATGCCCCATCCTCCCAAACAAACTCTCTGTGGGAAGCTGATGAGCCTTGTCCTGTGATAGGAGGAAACTAATCTCAGGAGATTGAACGATTGAACTATCTTTATTGTGTCCAGCATCCAGAGTGTTCTTCTTAAACTATATATCTGGACATGACATTCCTTTCTGTAAAACTCTTCTGGAGCTCTTTGCTTTATACCACACTGCTTAGCATGGCCTTTATGCTCTAGCTCTCCCTACCTGACTAGCTTCTCCTTTCCCACTCTTTTTTTGCAATCTGCTTAGCCATACTAATTGTTCCTAGTAATCTCTTGTCTATGTGTCTTTGTACATCCTGCTCCCTCTCTCAGAAATGCCTTCCCTCTGTCTCCATGTGGCTAATTCAAATTTGCCTTTCCATTCTCAGTTCCAATTTCATACTCTTAAAGGAACTTTCTTTGGCACCTCTGATTCCCCCAATGTGGATTAGATACCCTCATCTAGTGCTTTTCTTTCTTCTACACTAACACTACCCCAACCCTGTGTTATAGTTATTTCCTTACCTGACTCCCCTAGGAGACAGCAAGCCTGTGTCAAGAACTGTGTCATATTTATCTTCGAATCCATAGGACCTGGCATAGTGCCCAACATGCCATAGGTCCTTATCGAATGCCTGAGTTCATCTCCCTCCCTCCCTCCTTTTTTTTTTTTTTTTTT